ATATATATATATAAATATATTTATACTTAAATAATTAAAAATTCGTATTTCGTTCATTTTTAAAAGACTGGCTTTTCATCTTTTCTTTTTAAAGTGTGTAAAATTTTATATTTATAGCAGATTTTGTTAATCCAATTTTAACAATATGTCATAGACATATTTTAATTGACAGATCTAACAACAGCTTAGCGTATTAAATATCATTGGTAAATTTGATTAACAAAATTAACAATGGAGATAAAAATTAACACATTTTAAAAGGAGAGAACTAAAAGTTGATATTTTAAAAATATAAAACTAAAAACAAATTTTTGCATATTTATAGAAAAAAAATGTTTAACTCTACTTTATATTTGAGATTTGTTTTCACCAACAGTGAGGTAGATTTGTTAGCGGATGTCAACAAGATAGGGTAGGTATAGGTAATAGTTATCCGTAACTCATTGTGTTAGATAAATTTTCGTTTTGTACTCATCTTCATCTTCTGTTAAGCAAATACTTATATATTTTTTGGATATATCTACAAGTATCTGTAAACATTTATTTTTTTATTAAAAATATTTTTTTAAAAATATTATAATAATAATTTATATTTATTTTAATAATTTTTTAAAAATAATACTTTAAAAGTCAAAATATAAATTATTCAAATATTATACACAATTTTATGAATCAAGATTCTTCAATTTAAAAATTAAATTTAATTGTAAATGTACTTCATTCTTATAAATTTAACCAAATTTAATATATAATTATGTAATTGAATATTAATAAGTACTTACGAGTACAAATTTTATGATACATATACCTATTCTGTTGAATGCAGGTATTAAAAGTATCTATACCTATTATTTATGAATATCTATTTATAATATTTAATTTCTACTTAACAGATTTTATTTACAAATATTTGCTTGTACGAATTTTTTTTACATCCTACACCTTCTATCTCTCACTTTTCATGTTCATAATGAATATGGTAAATTCAAAAATAAACGAGACAAGAAAGAAATAAAATTTAACCATAAAACACAAATAAGTTCATAATAAAAGTGAAAGTTGCAAAGTATATGTGGTTTCGCCAAATTTCAATATTATTTCAATGTATTCGATTTTGTAGCATGTAGGATATTTATCAATTGAGAATTGATTGCAAATTTATAAGTGCTTTTAAAAATAGAGATTATTAAAGTAAGTTTTTCTATTTATCATAATTTTTTATATATTATCATTAATTAAATCATGATCATCATGTTTAAAGACCATTTTTAATTAAAAACAATCAATTATTTACTAACCTTATCGTATATATATTTTTTTGAAAAGCCTTCACTACTAGAAAAATGTCATTTTCTTGCAAATTTTCCTGCAAAAAAATATTTGCAAATTTTTTTTGCGAATTTTCTTGCAAATAAATATTCGCAGAAATTTTTTGCGAATTTTCCTGCAAAATAATATTTGCAGAAATTTTTTGCGAATTTATTTGTGAAAAATAATTTACAGATATTTCTTACAAATTTTGCTATAATTTTAATAATCATAGAAATTTTTTTCCATGGTAAAAATTTGCAGAAAATATTGTAAGAATTTTATTTTGTTTCTTGTAGATTTTCTTGCAAAAATAAATTTGCAAGTAATGTTTACTAAATGGTAGAAAAAATTTGCAGGTAACTTTTCCTGCGGATTTTCCTGCAAATTTTAATCCGCAGGAAAAATAAAAAAATATATTTAAATTTTATAAGTTTAATATTTTAAAAAAATTTCAAGTCCCACATCGATTGAAAATAAAGCAATTAAAGAGTATATAAGTTGGGGCAACATTTACCTTACAAGTTGATTTATATGGTTGAGTGTTACGCTTATAATCTACAATCTTAGAATTTGAAAGATTATGTATCACATGTTAGAGGCATGGAAACAAATACTTCGGATGAATTCATTGTGAGCATTTGAAAGTTGAAAAATTATTGATAGAATTTATAGTAATTTCTTTAATTTTTTTCGTAAAAAATATTCCTGCAAAGTTTCTTGCGAAAAAATTCGCAGGAAACTTTCCTGCGAATTTTCTTGCGAATTTTTTTTGTAGGAAAATTTCCTGCAAATTTTTTTTTAAGGAAAGTTTCCTACGAATTTTTTTCGCAATAAATTTCGCAGGAAAATTTCCTGCGAATTTTAAAATTCGCAAAAAAATATTATCCACGAAGGTATTACCTGCAGATAAAATTTCGCAGAAAAATTTGCAGGAACAATGTTTCCTGCAAATTTTTATAAAAAATTCACAGGAAAAGTCGCATGTAATAAGAGAAATTCTAGTAGTGCTTATTATATTCTATTAATATATTATATTTTTATATAGTAAACAAATGTATACATCATTGAAGTATTTCTTGTTTGGAATTAAAAATAAAAAAAAAACACTGCCGGACTAACTTTTTTCTTTTTTACACCAAAATTATAAAAATATATGAGAAAATTTATCATTCTTCAAACCTTATTTAAGAGGAAAAAAATAGGAGGAGAAAAAATAAAATAAAATTTTCTTTAAGTTAAAATGAATCTAATTTAAAATTTAATTTTAAAGAAGCTCATATTAAAAAAATTTACAAATTAATTTATGAGTAAATTAATTTTGACTTTTAAAATAAACTTATGTTATCAAGCTCATTCTTTCTCGTTTGAAAATATATTCATAACTCATTTAAAATCAATGTCCAAATTCAATTTATTTGTTGGGCTGTAAATACAAAATTCAAAATCATTATAAACTTGGTCATTGATAGAGATCTTGTTCATGGGTCATTTGCTAAACCTCTAACCAAATTTGAAAAGTTTGTGGGACTTCCAACTACAAAAGTCTAAATTAATTAAAATTTTAATTTTGTCTACTTAAAATTTGTTCATGTCTCACTTTGCTTAATATATCATCAAATTTGATCTATTTGTTGGTTTCCATTATACAAAAATTCAAAACAATTTCAAGTTTTTTTTTTCTCCTGTTTGGGAATCATTAAAATTCATTTACTTAGTCTTTAACCAAATTTAATCTGTCTATAGGACTCAAAAAACAAAAAATCAAAATAATTAAAATCTAGTCTTATCTATTAATCATGCTCTCATTTGTTTAACTTTTGATTTATCTTTTAAACTCTCAATTACAAAAGTTCAAAATAATTGAAAGCTTAGTCTTGCCTTGTCTATGAACAAATTTGATCTATTCATAGGTCTTCAACTACAAAATTTCAAAACAATTGCAAGCTCATTTTTTCCCGTTTTTTTAATCCATTAATAACTTATTTACCCAACCTTTGACCGAATTTGATTTGTCCGTGGGATCTTGAATAAAAATATTAAAAACAATTAAAAATTAGTCTTATATGGAATTTTGTTCATTCCTTCACATGCTCAACTTTTGACCAAATATAATCTATTTGTGAGACCCCGGTTACAACTGTTAAAATAATTGAAAGCTAAGTCTTGTCTATTTGGAAATTTATTTGTAACCCACTTGCATAGTCTTTGACCAAATCTGATTGGTTTATGAAACGTAACTGCAGTTCATTCACTTGCTCAACCTTTGACCAAATCTAATCTATTTGTGGGACCTCAACTACAAATGTTCAAAATAATTGAAAGCTCAGTCTTGTCTGTTTGTAATTTTTTTCATACCCCACTTGCTTAGTCTTTGACCAAATTTGATTTATTTGTTGGGCCAAACTATGGTCCATTTTGTGACTTTAGTATAAATAAAGGCATCAAAGTGATCCTCACACTCATGAAGAAAAATATTGAGTGTTGTTAGCATCAAAAGAATGTTAGACAGTGCCAACCTTCAAGCATAATGTGGTTGTTCCTGAGAGAACTCGTGATTTACTTTTCCTTTATTTCCTAAATGTAAATATGAAGTACATAGAGCTTGATCTTTTAGAAGATTACATGAACAATAGTGTTCATTAACAAAAAGATGATCTCGACAAGGATGCATTTGGTCGTCACAATGTCAAAGTGGATGTGGTCAGTGTCCGTGATTGGTTTGAACAAGAAATTGATTTTGTTGTCAATTGGTGCTAGGCTTCAAACAGGTATGCCTATGATATCATTTATTTCATGGATCCATATTCATTACCTATTTTATATCCGTATTTTGTTTCATATCTCATTATGAATTTGGTCTCTTAGTGTGGAGTTTCAAGGGGAAAGGAATACTAAAAACAATCCTTCTTTGAACAAAATGGTTTGGAAAAGGTATGTTTAATTTCTTGGTGTGGGTTTTGTTGCACTATATTTTATGGTGTTTATAGTGAAATTAATTTTGAGAATTATTTATTTTGAATTGCACTTCAATTTGAAGTCTTAATGTATTTCCACTATTTGATTTCTAAATGCCAGTATTGGAGACTTAAATTTAAAGGGTTCCACCATTCAATTGAAAGTTAAATGCTATTGACATCCAGAGAGCCAATGACTACTTTACTTCGGAATCAACTTCTTGATCAAACCATTTATGAACATTGGCTGCAATCACTTAGTCATTATGCCCACCCCCTTTATCCTCATTAGGTTCATCTTCTTGTTGATGAATGTCAATGTTTGTATAATCTTCTAAGAGTTCAAGCTCAAAGTACTTCATGCTTACCATAGTGGGAGGGTCAATCACTTAGTCATTATGCCCACCCTCTTTTTTACTCTTTTATGCCAACAACAATCAATGTTTCTTATCATAGTGGGAGGGACACCCCTATGTCTATAGTTATACTCAAATATCAAAATTTACAAGTCTAAACTTGTAATTATGGAGAATTTCTGTAGTTGAAGTGTCAAACAAAAAATGAGATTTTATAATAGATTAAGCAAGTGTTATGCGAGTAGAATTTCACATCTCATAGTCAATATGTACTTAACTAAAACTTGATTTATATTATGTAATACATGATAAAGAAAGAAATATATTATTATTATTATTATTATTATTATTATTATTATCATCATCATCATCATCATCATCATCATCATCATCATCATCATCATCATCATCATCATCGTCGTCGTCGTCATCGTCGTCGTCGTCATCAAATGAGTACTCATAGTAATCGATTAAATGATTTACTAATTTTTTTCTACGAATTATGTGTTTCTCTTTCTAACATCACTTCATCCTCTTACTAATAAAGAGATTTAATTATGAAAAGAATTATTAACTATTTTACAAGGTTAGGAAAAAATGAATTGAGTTCAAATTTAAAGGCTTTGATTAAAAGATATAATTAAAATCCATGTGCATTTTTTTCAATAGAATTTTATGATTTTTATCAAGTTGATAGAAACTATCAACACTACATTTATTATAGGCCTAATAAATATTAAAATTGCTTTTTTTAAAAAAAATTAATAGAAGGAAAAAATTGAAATAATGAAAATAAAAAATATGAAGAACATGTAATAAAAAAGGATAAAAAAAATGTGTAAGATGGGTGTAGAGAGAGTGAACAATATTTACTTAATAAATGAAGGAACAATATTTACTTAATAAATGAAGGAACAAACCAACAAAAAAGTAATGGTAAAGTAGGATAATTCTTCCAAAGAAAAAAAATGCCAGATTATAATGTTTTCTTATATTGGTAACAATTTGAAAAAAAAATTGACACACCATGCATTCAAGTTAACTAACATTCTTTAAAAAAAAGTATGAAGGCCCACATCTTTGCACAACTAAACAATGTATGACTTTCAAACTTACTTTCTCCAACATATTTAAAAGTTTGTGTCTCTAAAATTCAAAAAAAACAATTTAATCATTTAAAAAATGATTTATTCATGCTAGAGGAATGTCCTATAAGACAATAAAAACTAAGAAATGTCTTGTAAAACAATCAAAACTAATGATCAATAATAAATATTGTGACATTAGCTACTATGGTTGCTGAATCAATAATATAATCAATACTAACTAACTAAGGCTATATTTTTAGGGAGAATAATTGCTTCAAACATATTTTCAGAATGCAAGTTATTTGTAAGTATGTATGCACAAGAGTAAGTAGCTACCAAAGGTTGTTTTTCCAATAACTGAAATATATTGGCAAATCTTGTATTAGTAAATATTGTATCAGCAAATCTTGTACCAACAAATATTGTATCAACAATAAGATTACAATAAACTAATATCATTTTACATCCATTTACATCCATAACAAAAAAAAAAGGATGTTGTATATTTGTACACCTCAAAAAACCCACATTCAAAACCTGGTCAATAACATTAAAAGAAGTTGTGCAACCCTTGAGCATAATTTTTAACTTGGCTTGTTTTTGTCATTTGGATTATTGTCTCATGATAGCTTCCATTGTGTACTGTATCTAAATTCAAAACTTGGTTTCCACTTGTAAATGCAATCAACAATTGACTTTCACTCCCACATTAACTTTCCTTTAAGATTGAATTATCTAAAGCTAGAGAAATTGAATTGTAATCCAATGGTTGCTGCATATTGCAAAGAAAGTTAGAAAAACCTTTATGAAAGTCAGGGTGAAAATAATCCTATAAACACGAATGTATGACTTGCTTACTGTGAACAACTTAGTTAAAGTACGATTTCTATTAAAAGTTTGTATGTCATTAATGATTGTTGCAAATTTTTCCTACATGGTTAATTATATAATGAACATGCATTATAAAAATGAGAAAGTAGTACCACAAAACAAACACTAAGTAGTAAATTACCATCTTTTTTCTTTAGGCCTTCTCTTCTTTTCATGATAGACATGTCTTTCTTTTTCTAGCCAACTTCTCAACCCAAGTTTTAGGTCATTTTGTACTTTTATACGAGTATCTCTTTTCTTTACGCCTCTTGCACCACCTAAATCAATGATGTTCACATGGTTATCAATTTTTTCATTTACAATTGATATGGATACATGATTCATCCCAATTGATTCTTCATCCGTAGACATTTTAACCAACATATTGTCAATTATTTCGTTGGACCCTTCATAAATTTTGGACAAAAAGGTATAATTATAATGAGATTAAGATGCTTTCTTTATCAATTTAACCATTCAAGGACATAAATATTGTATTTTTTTTTCATGAAATGAACTTTTAAATCTAATTCAATATGATGTCCTTTACAATCTTGATTACTTCCCAACCTTGCATCTCTTTGTCCATCGCTTTAGTAAATAGTGTTGAGGAATTAACTCAATATTCATCACATCCAAAGCTTTCAAATCATGGCTACATAAAATACCAAGTGTCTCAAATTCATGATAATCACAAGCAACCTTTTGTTCCACAAGATTCCTCATTAATAGTCACTCCTTACAATTGTCATAATTTGTAACAACGTACAACCCTTTTTTCAATTATTTTAGGCAAGTACCTTGATATTCCTCTTGAAATTACTCAAAGATTTTTGGAGTGTAAATATTTTCAGCTTGTACAAGCATTGAGGCCTTCTTCAATTTCAACCAGGGAGCATATGTATTGATTCGTATTTAACTTCCAAGTCATTGTTTCATTTTCTATTGACTACTCTTTCAAAGTGTGTGAAAAATTGTCCTAAATTTAAATCTGACTTCAAATGATTTTTTAAATCAACATTAAAGCTCTCACTTAATTGAGTCAATCTCATTCTTGTAGTAAAAGTTTTTCTAACATATGTACATGCCCATTTTTCCTTCACAAGAAAATTGTATAGAGCCATGAATCATCATAAACATCATGCTTAACAAGTAAAGTCTTCCATGCCTTTAGGAATTCAACTTCCTCTTCATGTAGATCAATGCATGCTTCAAAGCTAGAGCAAACTTGTGAACTCTTGATAAAGATGGTTTACATGCCTCAAGGAATTTTCTCTAATATGCCAAGTGCATAATCCATGAAATGTTTTAGGCATAACTAAAGAAATAGCCTCAACCATTATTGCATCTTGATCGGTTAGAATTATTTGAGGCTTCTTTCTCCCATTTCTTTGAGAAAAGTTTCAAATAACCACTGAAAATAAGGAATTGTTTCATTATAGAGCAATGTTGCCCAAACACAATTGTTTTTCTATGATTATTGAGAACACTCCCAATGGTCTCGTTTGTCAACACTTTGTTTTCCCTCTTTGAAGCATGAGAATCTTCCTGAAGTTAGAATTCCATCCTTTTTGCTTTTATTTCCATATTCACGACGAATGTGAAATCTTACTTGCTTACGATATTTATTATAAAACTCATAAGCTGCTACCTCATATTCAAACTTCATTTCCAAGTGAAGTGTATAGTTGACAACACACAATTGGCCATTTTGCAGAATATTTTCATGAATATTATTGCTCCATTTCTCTGTACCTTCAACTACTTAAATAGATGACACATTCATATTTTTTAAAATAAAATACAATCAACATCTTAACTATCATAGAAAATAAAAAATTTGATTCCAAATGCATGTTGTATTATTCAATAAAGAAGAAATGAATTTTTATTCAAAATGAATTCACAAAGGGTTGACTATGATTTAGTTAACTTAAAATTAGTTTAAAGAAAAAAGAATACACATCTTACTCTAAGTGTAGAAGAGCTTTTATAGCTATAGAGAGTAGAATACCTATGAAAAGCAAAACACCTGCAATGTAAAAATGAAGATGTTTTACATTCTTGCAAATAATTATATGAAAATTTTTAAAACAAGAATTAGGATTTTCATGTTTTGTGTAAAAGAAAAAGGAGTAGATATCTTACTGATTAAGTATAGAAGGAGTTTTCCATCTATAGAGAATTGGAGAACTAAATGCTAGTAGTATAAAAATTGAAAAGACTTGCTTGTTCCCACAAAAAATGGGGGGAAAAAAAGTTATTTTTACTTGTTGCATAAAAGAGTGATTCCCTTAAGAGAGCATGTAAACTTTTTTAATTGATATGTAAATGACATGTATAATCTTGTTGCAAATGTAATGCAGAATCAAATTCATTTTTTAAATTAAATAGATTAATTGAAATTAAATATCAATATTATGCACATGTCATGCACATATTTAATAAACTAGAGATCCGAACGCCCCAGGAACGTGGGGGAAAGAAAGATCCAATTCAAGACCGCACTAAAATTCGAACACAATGAGTGATGTGATGTGAGTGATGATTGGACCGACAAGATAACCTTATCCATAAGTTTCCAATAGGGAGTACGCCACGTCAGATACAGACCAATATGCCGAAGATTTCCACCTCTCATTCCACTTCAGCCTCCACCACCATTTCTCTCAAAACAAGTTAACATATCCCATTTCCTCATTCTTCACAGAAGCTTGAATCAAGTATACAAACAACTAGCAGGGGAAGAAAGAAAGTACAGAAAAGGCATGGCTTCCACTTCTGCAGTTTCAATGGCTATGCCACTAACATATGCCAGCCAGAAGAGGGTGGTGCCTAGCTCTGATGCATTCTTCAAGCCACTGCCTCTACGGTCTTCAAAGGCAGTGGCAGCATCGAAACCCAATGGAAGGTTTCTAGTGAGGGCCTCCATGAAGGAGAAAGTTGTGACAGGGCTCACAGCAGCTGCATTGACAGCTTCAATGATGGTTCCTGATGTAGCTGAAGCTGCTGTTACACCTTCTCTCAAGAACTTCTTGCTCAGCATCGCGGCTGGTGGAGTTGTTGTTGTAGTCATTGTTGGTGCTGTGATTGGTGTTTCCAATTTCGACCCTGTCAAGCGAAGCTGATGAAGTTCTGAGGCACCGTGTTTATATATATATTTTTTTTACCTCCTATCTTGATAAGTATCTGTAATGTAATGTTCTTCATAAATGAAGTGTACCTTCTGTTGTACGTACTAATATGCGATTCTTGTGCAGAAGTTTTTCAATTCTTAAAACGTAATTTTGATTTTGACACATCATGGAAGCATTTAACTATCGTGTTAACTTTCTGCTGCATTGGAACAAAATTGACTAGCAATCCAATGATTCAAAATAATCCAACTCTAAGGAACTTTGTGGAATATTAAGTATAAATATAGCTGACAGAAAATTAGCATGGATCATATAGTAAGAAGAATAATAGTTGATAAATTGACAGTAGAGTGATCACACGGTGATGAGCTATCACTGGGAGCAATGAAAATATCCTGTGGTATGAAGGCATATTCATCCAAAAAAGAAACAGAAACTTCAAACTTGAATGGATCATATCTAAATATATGTTACACAATGGGCATACGAATGACACATTAACTCGTAGTCACTAATGAGTAATGATCAATTATATGTAAAGCTTATAGCTTGAACACTAATACTAATAGGTAATTAGGTATGGCTCATCATATTAAAAGATGTTGAAACCAAGCTAAAATTACTGCCTACAAAACTTGGAAATCAAATCAAGCATGTAGCTACTCTCTGAAGAATAATTCAACTTATCTGCCTTGACTACAGTAATCTTCACCTTCTGTTCATCGCCATATAATTCCTCTTTGATTTTCAGCCTAAACACAAACTGGTTGAAGAGTCTGCTCTTGATTATCTCTCCAAACTTTTCATCATCCTGCTGTTCATATTTCAAAAAGTACAGCTCCTTTGCTGAGTACTCCATAATCTCTTCCCCTGCTTCCTGGAAAGCAGTTACCCAAGTTAATCCTGTCTGATCCAGAATTTGAGCTTGGAGAAGGTATCGGTAATCACACTCCTCAAACTCTTGGTTGCATCTATCACATTGCCATCTTGTGTTTCCAGACCTAGTAACTTTCTTATTGCACTGTCGATCTCCAATCATCAGAGGGCAAGCTGTGTAACAAAATGTATCAGTCTTGATGAATGATATGGCTGCCCTTACTGTTATCCAGTCTGGCTTGTCTGACCGCCCCAGACCTTCATCCTTGATTTGGGACACAGCTTTGCGTATCTCATTCTTTGGTCCTCCGGGAATAATGTCCTTAGAAATGGATAAGGAAGCAGAATCTTTTCCTACTCGATCAAACCATTCTCTTAAGCTATGAGCCTCAGGGAAATCAGGATTTATGAAAAGTTGTGTGGTAGAAATAGAGCCTACAGACTTTCCACTAAAGTCATTCACCTTCCCGGCTTTGACTGCCAATATTGGGAAAAACCCAGCATCCACCATCTCTTGCAGCTTTTGACCTTCCCTGTTGCAGAATTCACCCCACAGTGTAAGTTCAACACTCCTGCCAGAACTGTCTTTTAGACTCAAAATTCTTCTTTGGGTTTCCATTCCATTCTTCCTCAAGATGGGAACTGAAGGATTCACAGATGTCACTACTCCAATAACATCAAGGATGGAGTTATTGTCAGCATTCTCAATGTCACTGATAGGCCTGAAGGAGAACTGCTGTTTAGGTATAGAATCATCCTCATCTGGGCAAAGCTCAACTGTTGAAGTTGATTCCAAAAAAATTTCCCATTCATTCTTCAAATGGTTGAAATTCTTCTGAGCAGGTTTTAAGTTACCTTTGGATATCATGTAAACTTTACCAACCTCGATTACATTATAGAAGCGATCAACAACAGCATTAAAGCATGTTACTCGTATTTCACCTCCATCAGAATCAAGGAGATCAAATGAGAAGACTTTCCCATCACCACGGGCATTATTATAGCGGCGCAGATCCCCTTTAGCAGTTACCCTTGCCTTGATGGCCCACCGACCTTGATAAGGATTTAAAGCAGCAATAGGAATGATGCGTGCCGGTGCCTCATTTTTCAAAATTGCCCCACGGCCTTTGTAAACTGGAGGCGGTTGATATGGAGGTTGAATTGTTGGCCTGAAATTCTGCGCATTATGGCTTGCATTTTGAGCAGCAGAATTGTTATTGTTGTTACTCCTGGGCAAATTCTCCACAGTGTTATCAGCTTTAGTTCCCACACTTGGTAAATCAGAATCCATATATGGCTTCGGATTCCCAATGATCTCACAATCAGGTATTATAGTTTCCATGTTGAGAACCACAATTATCCTGTGCAAGGAAAAACACAGAAGTAGATAAATTTTTACAGGATAAACCTAAAGTTGAGGATGTAAAATTCCACCAACAACATTGTTTATGACTCTTTAGCATTCATCTATATTCATACACTTTAATGCTGTGTTTGGTTCGAAAGCACACATAAAGGACATGATAATTGGAAGCTATCTATATCAGCTTTTAGGTTAAAGTGAAATTAGTGCAATTTCTAAACCATCCTGATGCAGATTCAAATACGCTATAATCTCTAACTAAGGATCTGTTTCGATAAACCTCTCCAGAAGTACTTCTAAATAAGATAACAAGAAAAATTGAAATAAGGTTTTCCATAAGCTAAAACTAATGCCTAAGTTATAAAAAGTTTTTTTGGAGAAGTTTACAGGAGAGCTTCTACAAATTAGCCGAAAAACTTATTTCATTTCGTTTCCTATTTCACTTTCCTATAAATGCTTTCGGAAAAAGTATAGCCAAACAGAACCTAAATGCTAAGGTTTTGCAAAACTTCAATTAGGTTGAATTTCTCCACTCATACAACAACCATTCATAAGAAGCAAAAGATTATGAATTTACGAAACATAAAATTCAACCATCTCCTTTTATCGTCGAACTAGCAAGGTTTACGAGTGCATAATAACTAGGGCACGAAGAATGCATCTTCTAGAAGGGCCAAGGTTTTGCTTTCAGAAGTGAAATTCCAACCAAATGAAAATTCGAATAACAGAAAAAGTGTAAATTCCATGATAATTCACGATCGCAACATATTAGAGTATAATTGCAGAAATGACTTAAATCCAAAAACAGATTTTGCACAGAGAGAGAGAGAGACTTGCGGTTCTTGAGAGGAGTGCATATGTAATCGAGAAGCTGAACGACGGAACCCTTCTGAACTCGGCCGGTTCGGATACGGTCGTTGAGCTGAGTGGCGAGCATCGCGTGGTGAGAAAAAACGGCGTCGGATAGCAGAAGTTTGTATCTCTGCTGCTGCGAGTTATTGGTATTGGAGACTAACGCCACGTCCAGAACCTGAACCAGCGGTTTCGCGTTCACGTCGCCGCCGATTATCGCCGGAATCGCGTTTGCCGTCAGATTCACCGACATTCTCACCCTGATCGGGGATTCCCTAACGAACTCAACCCGAAACGGAAACAGGAATAAGAGAAACAACGAGAATCATTTTTCTCTTTTCGAAGGAGCGAAGGGTGGGTAGACCGGCCCGGGTCCGTGGACCGGTTCGTAAGTCCGCAGATTTCACGGATAACGAGTCCATTTTTTTTAAATCAGTATGATTATGTCTAATTTTTAAGTCCGGCACTTGAAATTTGCGAACTTGGTAGATTTTATCCGCGGGCTCACGGGCTAATTTGCGGACTTCACTAATTAATATTTTTATATATTATGATTTTAATATTAAGTTGTGTATTTAATTTTTTAAATTATGATGACATTAAAATTATTATTTGTCATTTGAATTATTTTTATGACATTTTGATGCTTTTATTATTGAAAGTTTAGTACTATTATTTAAGTATTTGTAATTATTTTTATTTTAATATTTTAATATTTAGTATTTTAAACTATTTTAACTATTGATAAATTTTAGTATGATAAAATTTAGCTTATAAATAAAAAATATATTTTTTTCTTCTAATTTATGTATTTTTATTTTTAAAAATTTATTTTTTTTAACCATTATTTAGGCCCATGGACCGGTCCGTTATTCGCAAATTTTGGCAACCGGATACGGACTTAAAAAATAAGTCCATTTATTTTACAGACCGAACTTATCCAACCCATATAAAACGCGAGTTTTACGGACTGAGCCTTAAACGGGCTGGACCGGGCCTTAAATGGGCCGGACCGGTCCATATACCCACCCCTAAGCGAACCGAGGGAAAAACCGGACCGGGTCTGCTGAGCCTGAAACTGAACCTGCAAACAAATAAACGATAGCGCTAATTACCATTTTGACCCTGCAGACTGGTTCAGTATTTACTATTTAGGCTCTCAATCACGTTAAATCTGTACTATTATTAACACTACTGTTTCACTCTTTCTTTCTCATGTTTTTTTTGAAAACACACACACACACACACACATATATATATATATATATATATATATATATATAATTTAATTATTTTTATTTTTTAAAATACACAAAGATAATAAATGTCTTTTTTATTCTAGTACTAGTAGTACTAATTTTGATTTTTTATTATGTTTTTAAGATTTATTTTGGTATTTTTATGTTTTAAAAAAGTATTTTGATATTTTAATTTTAGATTAAATGTGTTTTTAGTTCTTATAAAATGATAATTTTTTATTTTAATCTTTGTAAAAAAAATTTCTTTGTTTCATTCCTATAAAATTTAGAATTACTATTTTTAGTTTTGATATTTTATTTTTAGTTTAAATATGTTTTTAGTTCCTATAAAATGATAATTTTTTATTTTGATCTCTGTAAAAAAAATTTATTTCATTTTTATAAAATTTAAAATTACTATTTTTAGTCTATATTATTATATAATTATTTTAAATTACTTATTTGTTCATCAAAAAATTGAGTGTGTGACACCTTCTACCCTAACATACATATACAATAATTATAAATAAATAAAAAAACATATTATTAGAGTAAATAAAATCATTTGAATTAAAACAATGGTTCCATTAACATAAGAGTAGAGAATTCACATTCATAACCATAAATCATGGTCAAATGCGAAATTTACAAGAAAATGGAACATGAGTTTTTCCAAAACAAAATAACAATAATGAAATTCTAAACTAAGTCTAACTATGGTTCGATGTCACATTCTATCAGAACGCACTTAACTAAAGCCTAAGCTTCATCACCAACATCTTCATGTTGATGG